GGGGGGACTGGCTCTCCAGCTTCCCAGCTGGCCACATTCCAGTTTGTCCATTTGGAAGGAGTTGTATTGCTGCATGGAAAGAAGAYGGATGGAGGCCAGCCGAGGGGCTGTGGGTAAGCCATGTCCCTGCCCCATGCCAAGGTGGGCCTTCCCCAGCGACCCACCCCCTGGATGGAAAGAGACCCCCATCCCAAACTAAAAACATACCAAATGCACATGGATGCTTGTTATATCTGACAGAACACCGAGTGCTTTAAAAGGGGGAGGGGAGAGAGCACACTTGTAACCCAGCTGCTTGGGAGGCTGAAGCAGRAGGATCACAAGTTTGAGGCCAGCCTCAGAGACTTAGTGAGACCCTGTCTCAATRTAAAAAGGGCCGGAGATGCAGCTCAGGGGTATAGTGCCCCTGAGTTCCATCCTAAAACTAAAAAAATAAAAAAGGGGTTTAATTTTTTTAAAAAAATTATGAAAACATGACACATGTGATRTGCTTCTAACCCCTATTTACATGGAGTCTCACAGGCTCATGTGCCCTCCCAATGGTCTTCTAGTTCCTATTCTTGACAAGTCCACCTGGATGTCAGCTGTCCCCAGGTTATGTCACCACCCTATGGGCAGGACAGCCTTGGGGACCCGCTCCATTCTGTAGAGATATCCAGCTACGTGTTCAGAGGGCCGTCACTCCTTAGCATACCCAGGGTGTCCCAAGCCCCATCCTGTACCACGGTGGGTTACCTGTGGGGGGTAAGGGTATGTCCTCAGCTTTGTCTTCATCTTTGTGTTTTTGGGTTTAGCTAATTTCCTAGTTTCTTGTGAKGTAGACAAGGTGGTCCTCCAGGAGTCCTGGGACTTAGARGTGGAGACCTGGTCCAGYGACAGCTGMAGTTCCTTGTATTCGACGTCCCTGGAAAGCRAGAGCAGGCCTGTCATGAGGAGGAGCGGTGGAGGAAGAGYGGCTTCCCTGGCTCTGTCCCCTGAGCGAGTGCCTTCTCCAAATTCCTCGGATCCTCTCACTGARCTTGGGTGTGGGTGGCATTTGAGGACAGGACAGCTCAATCTTGTGATAAAAGCTGCCTAAAGCCCCAAGAGGGTGACCCAGGAATGCTGGCAARATTAGTGCTATTTGGCAGGAATCGAGGGRGSTCAGAACAGCCCTCTCCAATCCCATACAGCCCAAACACGATTCCTGGGGACATCSTGGGCCACTAAGGCTGTCAAGGCAAAAGGGAGGGCCAAAGTGCCACTAATCACATCATCTCATCCCTGGTGCACATCTGTGACCCGGCTGATTCCCATTGAGCACCCGGGAAGCGGGAGTGAGGGGCCCTGTAAGGGCCGGGAGCCTGGAGTTGGCCTTGTCGGTTTTCACACCGGGGCTCCTGACAGCATCAGCACCCTGTTCCTGGAAGGAGAGGCGGCCCCCCAAGTCCAGCCAACACCTCGGTGCTCGAGAATAATAACCAGGCCGAATCATTTCTCCCTTACAGTTTTGCCGGGACCACTGTGCAGCTAACACACAGAGACCCAGCGGTCGCTCTGCGCAGAACCTGGAACCTAACTCCTCATTGCCTTTTTTCCCCTTCCATTTTGGGGATCAAACCCAGGGCTTTGTGCAGGTTAGGCAAGTGCTCTGCACCCCCGGCCCCACCACTGCGTTTAGAACACAAATGAGGACTCTTTTCCGGGGTGCCGGGGGACCATGAGGGCATCGAGTACAGGACTAAGCCTGGGGTCAAGGTGGCTTAATACACAATAGCTTTGGTGGGCAGAGTGACTCATGTTCAGTTGCTTCCAATGGCCTTAAATGTATTTGCAACTGAACTTGACCTTCGGGGGTTTTCAGTATTCTCTGTCATTTGCCACAGGCTATATGGATAGATGATGGGAAATGAGACTCTGTCTCAAATCGTAGAAGCATTCAAGATGATCCAGGTCTGTGGACATGGACTATGTGAGCTTGTATTCCTGATCCAGATGTGCACTTCTTTGTACCCTGTTCAAGGTGGGGGCTTCCCCCAACCCCCCACCTGGGCTCTGTGCTGGGATCTGAGGCCCCCCCCCCAGCACTCACTCCTCTCTGCTGAGCGTGGGAAAATCTGGACCCTCCCCCAAAACTGGACTCTTATTTTGTTCAAATAAAAACAAAACAGGAGACAAATGAAGAGTTTTGGAAAGAGACGGAGCGTTAGGTGACACTTTGGGAGCGATGCAATGAGTGACAGGAGGAGGAGCAAGGGGAGGAACAATAGGGCTGACTTACGTGAGGACATAATTGACACTCACGATGCAGTGGGGCCGGGAGGAGCGGCTGTTGTGCACAACGGTGGCGTAGCTCTGCACCCACACCCAGCCGCCCAGCTTGGACAGCAGCCGGTAGTACTTGGTGGTGACCTGGCCCTTCACCAGCACTGCAAGCACAGGGTGACATGAGTCCACGGGCCCCGCTCTGGGATGCCACCCCACCAAGGGGCCCAGGATCCCTCTGAACTTGATGGCACGCTTACACACGCACTCACACCCAGATGCTGCCTGCAACCTCAAGGAGTCCACTAAGACCCCCGAGTGAACAGCACTGCTCCACTGCAGGGAACAGCCCCCCGGCAACTCGGTACCTGGCAGGGCAGAAACATCCATCCGCTTTTTTAGAATCCAACATGTCACAGTTATGTCTTAATGCCCCCAATCTTTAATGGCAGAGGGGGTGAATGATGTAGTGATTTAAACAAAATAAAGTAACTGCAGGGCACTGGGCTAGGAGTCAAATGTTGCTGATACCCAGACACTGTGTATTCACAGCAAAATCGCTTGCTACTCTGTTGCCATTAAAATTTTCTTGGGGCCAATTCATTTCCTGTGTTGCTCGGGTAGCAAAGTCCTCTGCTTGGTGACATAGTTCCTGAAAA